TGAATAAAGGAATGAAAAATGAATAATAAATGATATTGAAGTTAAGATAAGCAAGACATTTATCATCCGTACTTTAAAGCTAATCAAAGAAAATAACAGTAGCTAAAACCTGTGCTCCGTTGAACTGATTGTCCATTTTTATAGAAAACAAAATGAAAATTTTAATAAAATGCAGTGGCCGGAGGCTGGGGACAGACAGAAGAAAGACCCCACGGTGGTCAGGAGAGGCTGTGCTCAGACCCCAGGACACCCCCGGTCGGCCACTTTCACGCGGGGCCATCCACTCCACAGGGGGGCAGCGCCCAGCCTGGCTCTAGGTCCTGGGGGGGCCAGGGCCAGGTTGCCCAGGCTCTGAGCCTGGCCCCACCTTTGCAGGTATGTTCACCCTCTCACTGAGCTGCCCCCCCCCCGGCCTGGTGCGGCCTTCATTTCTTTATCTGCCATGTGGGGGTAAAGTTAACTCCAGCGTCTCGGAGCTTTAAAGAGGTTTCATCCCCCTGCATCCTCCTCTGTGAAAGGAGGATAACGTTTTCTTGCCTCGAGGTGCCACTAGGAGGTCTTACTAAGCACGAGGGTGGAGTGTGGACCTCATGCACCTCCACACCATAGAGATACAGGGAATTCGATCCTCAGTCTCCAAACCCAAATGTCGGCCTCAGGTTTGACCTCTCCCTCCTCTCAGTCCCCTCTCCTCATCCTCGCAGGAGCCCCCAGGTTCCAGCAATTCCACCTCTTAACTCGCTGGTATGTCCCAGGCTGCCCCCTGTCTTCCACGCCCAGGCCCCTGCCCCAATCTGGCTTCACTCTTGTTGCTATGACAATATGACACCGTCTGAGTCTTCCCTTTCTCCAGCTCACCCCCTCCCTGGCACCCCTTCCCTGGCACCCCCTCCTGTACACAGCAGCCAGAGTGATTGGTTCCTCTCGACCACAGATCGGACCCTGTCGGCCCCTCACTCCCAGTTCACCCGCTGGACAGGGTCACGGAGCAGGAAGGACCATGATAGGGAGGTTCGAGGTTTGAGAACCAGTCCTGGGTCTTCCCAAGGGCCCCTGAGTCACATTCCTCCCCTGTGAAACCGGGTAATAATAGCAATGCTGTCTCACAGGGTGTTGTGTTGTCATTTGTTTGATTTTTTGAGAATCAAATCAGAAAGTGCTCTACAAATTGTACCACACAATGCAACTGCGTGTAAGTATCATTAAATGGTCTCTCCTTCTGCTTCCCAAATAAAATCCAGACTGTGATGGTGGCATTCAGGATCCTCTAGAACGGGGTTCCAGGGTCCCCTTCCCCCAGGAATCCTCCTCCCAAGCCCCACTGCCAAGATAACTGGACAACTCCTGGCGTTAGCACTTGCTGTTGCTGCCTTCTCGCTCCTCCTTTGCTCATACTGTGCCCTCTGGGTCAAATTCTTTCCTTTCCTATCTGCACACATCCACATCTGAGTCTCCTTCCAAAGTCACCTCCTCCACGAAGCCCTCCAAGATGCATGCTCAATTTCTGCAAAAGCCCTAGGACAGTTGTTCTAAGAGGAGCAGCGCCCTTAGGACCAGCTGGGGACACTGCTGGGCTCTGGGCAGCCCATGCTTTTACACCAGATTGCTCCCTCCATTCCCAGAACTCTGTTCCCAGGCCACCCTTCCCTCCTCTGCAGCCTGCAGGATATGCCACTGCTGGTGGTGGGATGGAGGTGGGCAGCTGAGTCCCAGATGAGGACAGGAAGATGTTTGGCAAGGAGGGTCCCTGGAATCCTGCCCCGCAGTTACCCCTAGAGGCTCTGAGATGGTACCCCGGCCACCTGGGACGAGGCTGGCCCCAAGGCGCGAGGGCGGGAGTCCAGGATGATGGTCTGAGCCAGGGAACGGCAGCCAACCAGATGCTTTGGAAGCAGCAGGAAGCAGACAAGCAGACAGAGGCCTGGGGAGGACGCAAGTTCAAGGCTCCTCCTTGCCACACTCGGTGAGCAAGCTGCTTCCATTTGGAGCCTCGGTTTCCACCTCTAAAACTGAGGTGGTGACAGCAGCCCGCTCACAGGGACGTTGAGATTAGCCACAGGAAACCAAGGAGGGAGGCGGGACACTGTTCGATGCGGAGGGATGTGCGGGCCGAGATGGGGAGATGCCGCCGTGCTTGTCCTGCTGCAGGTGGAGAAGGGCAGCTGTGGTCAGGGAGCTGCAGCTGCCCATTCTCAGGCCAGGTGGACAGAGGCAGGGGGTGGAAGTCAGACCACTGGCCCTGCCTCACTTAGCATCCGCCGGAGACCCCAGAGCCTGCTAAGTAGCACTTAGTCCCCTTTGACCCTCTTATCGTCCCAACCTCACGGCTGGCCATCTGGACCCCTTGGCGACACAGCAGGGGCAGGGGCCACCAGCTGGGCAGCAGACTCAGAGGGGCGTGGAGGGAGGGATTGGAGAACCGTGTCTGCAAGGACACCTTGCCCTGAGTAGATTTTGGTTGCATCAATGGAATTCTCTGGATGAGCTGCCCAGCACTGACTAGGAGGCTGTGGGCTAGTGAGTGCCTCCTCCCTGAGGCACCCAAGAGGAGCCTGGATGGCCACCGAGGGGAAGGGTTGCTGGCACGGGGCTCTAGACCCCTCCCAGCCACCTTGAACATAAGGAGACTGAGATTCTGGAAGGGGCAGCGACGTGCATTAAGAAAACAGCTAGCTTTCAGAAATGGGAGTGGACAGGATGGTATTGGGGTACAACAGTTTTAGTGCTTATGTAGTAGGGTGTGGGGTCCCTTCCTCTTTCCACGACCTGCCCAGGCATCACCTCCTCCCTGAAGCCTTCCCTGATGCCTCTCACTGCCACCACCTGGGCGGTGTGTTGCTGCCTCTGTGCTCTGTCCGGCTCTGGTTCTGACTGACCAGGAGCTCCGTCCTGGTATGAGTGCGAGGTGCAGACGATCTCATTACTTACTTCTGTGAGTGCTCCCTGGGGGCAGGGTGCTGGCCTATGTGCCCCTTTGCCAGTGTAGACAGAAGTCTCTCCAGCCACTTCCAACACCAGAAGGCATGTAGCTGTTCATGCGTTTGCCTTTCCAGCTGGATTGGAGTAGGGGCAGACACTGGGGCTAGACCAGCCTTGCACAGTACGCGGGGTGACACATAGTAGGTAACTTAGCAAATGTCAATTCTACCCTCTTGCGGGGCCAGTGGCTGGACAGAGGCTCTCCCTGTTCATCTCAGGCCAGCCCCAGGTCTCTGGGAGCACAGCACGGTCTCTGGCCACCCCCGACAACCTTCGCACCCTCTGCCCAGGCACACACGCCAGTGTCGCCCCAACATTGAATATATAAATTCATCTGCGTGGAGGCGAGGGCCAGGGCCAGGCGGGCGAGAGGTGGGGTGCCTCTGGCCATCTCCCTGGTTCTAATCAAGATCAGAT